CAGAACCCTTCAAAATCTTTCCATTGATCTTAGAATAGATCTTAGCTAATCTTAGATCTTAGCTCCTTGATCTGGCCTCTTCCCACCTGACCTCTGCCTGTGTCCTTCTCACCCTCAGTCACAACTCTTCAGTCACATTCACTTTCTCTGGTTTCCAGAATATGCCAGACTCCTTTGCTTCTTAGGCCTTTGTCTCCACTTTTCCCCCCTCCCTGGGGAGTCATCACATAACTGATATCTGTTATGTGTTGAAGTGTGTCCCTCTCAAAATTCATATATTGAAATCCTAATGCCCAGCAGCTCAGAATGTCTTTGCAGATGTCATTAATTAGGATGAGGTCATATTGGAGTAGGATGGGCCACTAATCCAATGAGACTAGTGTCCCTATAAAATGGGGAAGCCTGGATACAGATGCAATCCAGGGAGAACACCACGCTAAGAGGAAGGCAGAGATGGGACGTTGCTTCTACAAGCCACAGAATGCCCAGGATTGCGGGCCAGCCAGCAGGAGCTAGGAGGCAAGGAACAGATCCTTCCCTCACAGCCCTCAGAAGGAACCAACCCCATAGACACCTGGATCTTGGACTTCTACCTTCCAGAACTGTGAGACATACATTTCTCTTTTTTCAGCCACCTAATTTGTGGTCCTTTGTTACAGTAGCCCCAGGAAACTCTACAGTAACCTCTCCTTCTCCAAGTCTTGGCTTAAATGTCATTTTCTCAGAGGAACCTTCCTTGACAGCCTAGATTCCTCCAGTGTTTTCGATCAAAGCTCCTGTTTGTTTCCTTCAGAACATGAATACAGATCTGCAACTATTTTACTGGTTTGCTTGTTTGTCTGTTGACATCACCCCCACTAGAACGTAAATTCCACGAGAGCAGGGGCTTGTCTTCTTCTGACTGCCTTTGTAGCGACCCTCAGGGGACCTGGAGCACAGCTGGGAAATGTCTCGGGGTTGCATCAAGGGCGAAGGAGGCAGCGCCAAGAGCTGTGTGTCTGAATTGTCATCACCCTTTGGATGTAGTGGAGGTGAAGCTTTTTGAGAAAGTGAGAGTATTTAAAAATACTCTCAATCCTTTGTTTTAGGACACTCTTCTGTCTTTCTGACTGGCAAATTTCCAAATAGTTTCAAATAGAATAAGGTGTATTATTCAAGGTGCTCAGGAGTTTGGGGAGAAAGAGAACAGACTGAACGTCATCAAGGTTCACAGGCTGTGAGTAAGGAGCTTATAGGGAAATGGTGGAAGCTGTAATAAAAAGGTCTTCAAATATTCAGACCCAGTGAATCATGTGGTTTGCTGAATTTACGTTACAACTTTGAAGTTTACTTTGTGTTTAAAATATTTTTAATACTTGAAACTATTATAGTAATTCTTTCTAAAGAACCTCAGGGCAAAGCTATAGACACTTTTTCCTTCTGACTTTAAAAGCACTACTTTATAGTTTATCACCTTAGAGAAATAATGAATATTTCAAAGCCATATGGGATGTAGAGAAATTATAGCAAAAATAATTTATGAAGTTTTCAAAGTTGAAAGCCTTCCTTTTGGACAAGAAAAAAACCTTATCTCCCCCCCCCCCACTTCACACACACACACACACACACACACACACACACACACACACACACATATCCTGGTACTTTTAAAGAATATTTCTTCCCTTCATCAGATGAACAGGACAAAATTAATATTTATTACTAAGGATTGGGCAACATGTTTCTCAATTTAAATTCATGATTTTCAGAGAATAATTGCAACAAAATGAACCTCATTTCAGAGTTTCTAGTAAAATGGAAGAAACAATTACATGAGGTAATAGTCAAGAATTTCTCCAACTTGATGTCTGTGATCCTTGGACTTTGATGACTTTTTCAACATCTTCACAGCTCTACTGTCTCCACTAAAATCTAATGTGACTATATGTTTATTCAGCGCAGACTTCGCAATGATATTTTCGCAATGCAGAACTATAATCTATGGCTTTATATTGGCCAACTGCTCTGGTAAGTATGGAGCACTCATTTTCCATGATTTTATAACCTCTGCTGAATTATAGCGGCATGGAAGAGAACCTTGGTGGCCAAGATGGAGGTGGTACCCAGAGATACTGTGGGGAAATTAGGGCATAAACTGAGCGAATGGTGATGGATCGCTGATTTACATACTTAACCCTTTAGTTAGTACACCATCATGTTCTACATTCTTAAGTGGAACGTACAGGTCTAAAGACTGATTTTAGATGGAAGTGATGTCGGTGCCATTCCTGGGATGATACAATAGAAATAAACATTCCAATTTACTAGACTGTGAGGAAACGTCTTGGAAGGCAGAGATTTTCCTTTGTTTTGTTCACAAGAAAAGCTCTTAGACACTTAATATAACATTTACTTGAACAATTATTTTCTCAAACTATTCTTATTTATTAAGAAAATAAATGTAAAAACCCATTTGAAAAGGGCTAACCTTGAGTGTATCTTTAAATTTCATTCATGGAGAGATCAGTTGCTACATGGCCAAGTAATCATTGTCCTTTCTCAATTCCCTTGAAAAGAAATGAGTTCTAATGCATCCAGGTAGATCTTCTTTTTGGATGTTCCATTCCACAGGTGAAACACAGACACACCTCACTCAGCAGCTCACTCTAGTTTTATTCTACAAGATTGCTCAAACATCTTTTGCTTTAGACCAAGGTGGTTGGTCAGATTTCTTTGGTATGGCAAAGGTTATTTTTTCCAGAAATTTTCAAAAAGGTTATTATATTTTGTGATATTGATCCATTTTCCACAGAGCTTTATGACTATATACGTCAGAAGGCTAAGAAATATTTCTTGACTATCGATACCGTGTGGATTTTAGGGTCATATTTGTGTTTTGGGTCTGCACTGACATGTTTTCAAGGGCGTAAGAACAGAGTGAAATGCATTCTATGCTTATGAGTTTAGACACCTGGAAATTGGAAATAAGACCTATGCTTTGGGGAGAGGCTCAGGAAAGCTGGGAGTTAATGTTGCCTCCCAGTTTCCTGGCTGGTTAATGAAGTGACAGAGACAAGGGGGTAGGGAAAGAGGTTATGAGTTTAGTTTTGGATGTATGTAATTTGTTGTGCCTGAGGAACATATAGGAGGTAAATGCATCCCAAGCTCAGAAGTTAGAGATTTTGGAGTTATCACCAAATAGTGATAGCTGAAGCTTTTCGTGTGGGTGAGAGCACTCAAAGAGAAAGGATGTTGAATGAGAGAGTAGGAGGTTGAGGATAGAATGTCTAGAAACACCATAATTTAGGGGGATGGCAGCAGAAGAGGAATCAGCCAAGAAATAAAACAGAAGGATGTCACACAGGCATCAGGCAGCATGATGGGAATTATTAAATGATAGAGAGATGCTGAGTGAATGAGGACTGGAAATGGCCCTTTAGAAAAATTACTAGAAGGAAATACATAAAATATCACCATGTCTATTTCTTACTGGTAAGATTGCCATCTTCTTTCAACTTTTCTGTACTTTCAGCATACAGTACAATAAATATAGATTACATTTATATTAAAAGATTAAAATATTCTGTTAAAGTCTAAAATAGTTTATGAGAACAAAAGGCAAGGAACTATGAATTCACAAGTAGTTGAATGCCTCTGTGCTGGGCACCATGCTAAGGATAAAACAACAAACAAGAGGATAGCTCTGTTGTTTTACAAAAAAGAATGGCAGCTGGTTTGACAAGGGAGGGGCAGAGAGCTTGTGGGGCACAGGAGATGAGGCTGGAAAAGAAGTCTGATGCCAGATATAACAGACTTTCTGTGTTATGTCAAATGATATGGACTTTATTCTGAAGGGTGCAGGGAGGTTTTTGAGGGGCAGGGTTAGGATTGAAATTGTGCTTCACCTGAAGTTAATTTTCTACTTAACTTGGACAGTAGTGTGGCTATTAACCTAGAGGAATTGAAATTAGAAGCCCAGGTCCGAGACCACTGCAATACCTGAATGAATGTGATGCAAAGGGGATGCAGAAGGGGCAAGGTCCAGAGATATTTGGGATCAACACCAATAGGCCAGAAGGATGTGTGTTGTGAAGGAAAACATTAAGGACTACCGAGTTTTTAACTTGAGTCCGCGGGTGGGTAGAGTGACAACTGTCCTACAGAGTTTGTGTATAGTTACTCTAATTGTAATGGTCATTGCCTTATGAAATAAGAAAGTGAGTGCTGTGTCAAATAGTATCATATGAGAGGGTATAAGAAATAATGATGTATGTGAGATCTATTTCTGAAACCACAGCCACAGAACAGAATCCTGAACCCTCAGCTATCGCCTCACCACATGTGCATGTTTGGATACTTCTGTTTCTAGTCCATAGAACTCAATCCTGGAGTTATATATTTTAAAATATATTTTTAAAACATTTCAAAGGGCAGGAGGTAATTAGCTTTCCTGTTTATTTCTTTATTTTTAATGGAGGTACTGGGATTGAACCCAGGACCTGGTGCATATAAAGCACACACTCTACCACTGAGCTATACCCTCCTCCTGGAGTTATGTTTTTAGAAGTGTTTACATACAAGTAGCTATGGCCTTCCAGGAAGGGACTTCCTGTGTTGGGCAGAGAAGTTTAGGAGAAGGCCAATGAGACTGCATTGGGGCGGGATGGGGGGGAACGGGGCATGGGGAGAAACAGATATAAGGTGAGAATCTACTTTAAAGCAAGAGACCCAAAAGCAGCAGGTCCCAAGTGAATTGTATTAGTTTGAGCTAACACATCTTGAAGGTGACAGGTGCTGCACCTGTATTCTTGCATTCTGTCACTTACTCTCATTTCAAGGCATTGAATACTGAGGCCTTGGGTTAAGCAATATGACCGAAGATGCCCAGCCAGTAGGTTAGAGAGGCTAAGTTTGAACCTGGCTGGAAGTACTATACTCTAAAACCTCTCTCCTGGACCAGCCACACATTAAGACATCCTGTAGGAAAATCCGCTCTCACCCTTGTCCATCTCTTCCTGCAGGAAGGGTACTTCTGTAGCAGACTCAGTCTGGGAGAACGCTGCTGTTGACTTACTAAAGGAAGGCCTTCCTTATCGCCCAGAACCCAAACGGAGCTCCAGGCGGTGTCCCAAATGACAGCGGCCTCTCAGATGGTTGCACCTTCAACTACTGATAAGGGGTCAAATAAAGTTAAGGACGCATCACTTGGCCCAGTTATTGCACTAATATCCAAGTAATGCTCTTGTCAGCGAATTGCGCCTTTTGTTCCTTTGAAGTGGGCAGTGATACAAAGTGACTTTTTATTCACTCAGAAAACAGAGGCTCTCAACACCGCTTACACCTGCCCCACCAACTGGATGGCAAGAGCTCTGCTTCCCCGATATGCCCTCCTCCTCCCTCCTTCCCCACCTTCAGGTAACCCTAAAGATGGAGAGTCAGATGGGTGCCTGCCTTCCTCTCCTACTGCTACCAGCTTCTGGCCGGACCCCCCGGGCCCCCACTCAAGTGTTCACGCGGCGAGTGTGAGCGCGCGGGTGTGCGAGCAGCAGACTCACGAGCAGACGCTTGTTGCGCCCGCTGCCGCGACGTGGGGAAGTGAAAATGAAATTGACTTTTCAGAGAAATGATGAAAGCGGCGCTGCCTGCCAATGAACGGCGGCGGCGAACTTCCGCACCTCCCGGCCCGGCCGCTCGCGCCCTCCCTCCGCCTCCACCTCCGGGTTGCACAAGCTCGAAACAAACACTGGGGAGGAAGGGCGGAGGGAGGAGGGCGGAGTGGGGAGCGAGGGAGGGAGGGAACGAGGCAGGCTGGAGGGCGGGGGGTGGGGGGATTTCCAGCCTCAGCGCTTCGCAGTTTCCTCTCCTTGTTTTGCTTTCGATCTGGACTGTTCTCAGGCAAGCCGGGGAGTAACTTTTAGTTTTGCTCCTGCGATTATTCAACTGACGGGCTTTCATTTCCATTTCACACACCCTAGCAACACTTAAGCCTTGCGGAATTGTATTGATAGCGTGAAAAAGCACACTGAGAGGTAACATTTTTCAAATAATAGTTGTGACTGTGCGTGTATGTTTTTCTCGAGGGCATGTTTATGAGGACTGGAAGGGATATGTGTGTGCGCGTCCTGATGGTTTGACACGATGTTTTGCAGACGGAAAATGCTGAGGTTCATGAATATTAATATTGATTTTTGGAGGAACAGTCGGCGCTATTATGGATCATCTGATTTTAGGGGAAGCAGGTTCTGCTGCTGCTGCTCCTGCTACTTGGGCTGCTGAGGCTGCAAGGAGGAGGAGGAGGAGGTAGAGAGGGAGGAGGAGGAGGAGGAGGAGGTTGGTGGAGGTTTAATTTCACTTTTGGATTTGCAGATGCGGAGAGGTGGCTCCATGGACACAGACCTGCTCTGTGTGATTCTGCGCCCCAGGTGTTGTGTGTGGGGGTGCAGGTCCGCTGGAGTCGGGCCTCCTTTTAAAACAAAATTACCGTGTGCATGTGTGTGCGTGTGAGTGTTTACAGAAGCCGTCGCCACCAGATCCGAAGGAGGAGAGCGGGTCCTTCTCGGTGCCCAGCGGCGGTGCCTCTCTCCAGGCAGCCTCTGGCGTAAATAGGCAGAAACGCGCCGTCCGCCCGCAGCCTGCGCCCCGCACCCGGGGCCGGGAGAGGTGCCTCCCGCCGCGGCCAAGGAAA